AACTCAACGATAAATAAACAGCATGCACTTCACTTGTTTTCAAAATAATATATATATTCGGAACAAGTTAAACGTATGTACAACAAAGTCTTCACACTATAGAGTTTAAAGTCATATGATAAACACTATTTATATATAGTTCTCTACTTCTTGTCAAAAGTCCACTTAGGCCTATTTAATTGCTTTGGAATTTCATTTGATAAGCCGAACTACCTTTCTCTATTTCTATCGCACTAGTATTCCGTGTATAATTCATTTACTCTGCCTCGTTGAGCTAATGCAGTTATATCTTAAACTTCCGATACTCGTCTGTTTGTTCGTATTTAGGCCTACTTCCAATAATTGTCCGTTTTCTTGTCAAAGTCCACACAGGCAGGTTCAGTTGCTTTAGAACATCCTTTGACGAAACAAGTTATTCTCCTAAAGTGTCAGAAAACTGTTAATCTCACTTTAACATGACAACAGTCTGGCTATCGACTCCTACGACGGTTAACTTTAGTTTTCTAACCTTTTTTTTTTGGCCACACTTCCACATCCCGTTCTCTGGTCTCTTGTTTGCTCTGTCTGTTTGCTGTTCCCGCTCTTTTCACACTATTTATATGCTTATCATTTAATCGTCTGTCCGCCTTTTAGAAATCTCTATATACTCGACGTCAGCGTATTGCACTCGACGTTCGATAGTATCAACATCAATGAATTATAAACACCATTTCCAACAATTGTCTGCTTTTAACTCTTATTATTAAAAAACACACTCAACAATCATATAATATTAACTCATAAAATGAATTAATTAATACTACCTACACTAAATAGTATTTTATATCATGACATCCTGATTAAACAAGACTAGAACTGAGTCGCTGAAGATGTCTCACCTGCAATTGAACTACAGAATGTTTTACTTTGGAACACAAAACGAAAGACGGGTATGACAGTCACTTTCTTATCAAATATTATCAAAACATCACTGTAGTGAATAAAAGAAAACTTAAGCCACGTAAACTTAACTTATAGACTAACTACAACTAGATCTAGATATTAGTTATTCGGCTTTATTCAAGGTCAATGATAAGGGAAGAAATATATCGCCCAAATTCATAATTGTGTTGTTCAGAACAAGCAAAAGTACAAATTCTCTTTTTCGTTAAGCATAATAATTTATGTCTAAAGAACATACCATCAAAGTTGATTAAACTGTAAGAAATCTTATAGTAATTCTAAAGTCTATACATTTATTACTAACAATAAATGATGTTTTGAACTTTGAAGATCCTTTATAAATTTTAAGAAAATCTAGATAGACAAAAACAACACTTAAAGGTGACAAGAACCTTTCAAACACTTGAACTTCCCACAAATAGGTCTAACTCAGTCACATGTCATAAATTCATAAGTAAAAAATAAATAAATTATCAAAATGGTAGAACACCCTAAGAAAAATAAATATATCACAATACACCTAACATATAACGATAAAGTGGTCTAAATGAAAAATATTTACGTTACAATTGTTGTTCTGCGGGAAGAAATAGGTAAACATAGAAAATACGAACTGTCGCAGCGGTAACTACACAGGTGTACCACGCATTCACCTGTACTAAACTAATAGTCCGATTACGTAACCTAAAACTGTTCATGTATACCTGTACACGAGGTAAACAAAATAATCCGGAATAGAAACTCAAAGCTGTAGAGCAATACTGAAACCCGTATTACTGTTTGGGGTGAGAAAGAATCATGAAAGGCAATTGAAATTGGAAGATGCTACGTACAACGCGAAACGTATTATAATAATAATTGTACGTTTAATGTGTTGTCAATAGCGTTATATTTATAGTAAACGTGTTGATTATACTATTGAATGCATAGAAATATAGTACGAAAAATACTTAGAATCGTTGTTGACGAAAAGAATATCTCTATAACCCAAACATACAACATACGGGCAGTCTTGTTCGTTTACTCTTTATGTTATACTTGTAGAAAGTATTTGAAAAGTTTTTTTGTTGTACGAAACTTGAAGATAGCTTTGATATACGGAAACATCTGTTAGCTGAGTTCTTGATAAATGGAAACATCGGCACATGTAGATCTTTCAAGATCTATATATCTACATTTACAATAATTTCAAATCTGCTATCCGTGTTGTTGTCGGCGCAGATAGCCTAGCTGCTTTGCGCCATAAAACACCAACCAACCAACCAACCGTGTTGTTGTCAGCACAAGTCGGGTTCACTAGTAAATACTGGCCAATCGCTGATTCACATTTTGATGATAGAACTTTTGTTTTACAGGAACGACATGGTGAATTCTCTTCTTACACACTCTTATTTCTTATGGATGTGGGTACATGTTGTTTAATTCTATCCTGCAATCTTTGGGAAGTGCGACCTACGTACCGACATTCGCAGTGGCACGAGAATTCATAAATAACCATTTTTTCTGTGTGGTAGGTATCTCATCTTTGTGCGTTGCAGGCAACAATTACGTGTAGAATAAGCACAGTAGGGGATCACTGCAGGAAAACATTTAGTAATGGGCGTTTTCAATTGGTCCAATTATCAACGCTATTTTCAAGTTTTGAACAACTCGACTGTCAAGATATACATATCTACATGTGC